AATGGGCTAACTTTGAATATAGTGACTATTAGTAACTGCACCCAAAATTTATTAACGATTATTCTGGCCACGAGTTAGGTGACTACTTTTGTGTCATATTATAATTGTGTCTTCCAAGTAAGGAGAGACTATTTTTGTATCATATCATAGCCTTTTTGGGTGCATAAATTTGGGATATATTAGAGAAGAAAATGTACATAATGAGGATTCAAAATATTTTGGTATATATTAATTTAAATTTAAAGTTTATCTAGAAGCTCTATATTCGATTTGATGATTTTAATTATGGATGTTTATATATCAATGCTTAGAATGGACTTATTCAATGATTAAAAAGTGTAATGTATATTTTGTGACGATTGAATCGGATTAAGTTTCACTCATTGGATCATGATTAATAAAGTCATGATGGGTGTTGGTAAAAAAGTATATCTGAGAACAACAAGCTCAGTTTTGCTTGACCAAATACAAGCTAAATAATGAAATATTCATTATGAAAATCATTGATAATAAGTAATTATTGATAAAAATTTCAGCATAAAATCTACCAATATGTGTTTTAGCTTATGAGAATTAGCATGCCTTCTATTGTTTTAGGAATCAATCAATAATATAAATGTGATTAAATAAGTATTTGAAGAAGAAATCAACCAAATTACCAAAAGCAAAAAAAATTGTTTGTTTTCTCTTTTTTTTTTTGTGTGTTTAATAAGGACAAGCTATCAACTAGGAAATGAAATAACAAATAATCTAATAAATTCTCTTTTTTTATTTAAAATAAAGATGTGATTCAACACTAAATGTAAGATAAACTAATTAAAAAAATTAACATAATATATATATATAGGATAAAAAAGTCAAGAGAAGTGGCAAGAAAAATCTTTTCCTTCCAAAAGCTCTTAGGTAACAACCTCAATATATTTTAGAGTTAATAGAAATGTATTATGTTAACAAACTCGCTTAATTGCAGGGAATCTAAAGATCAAGAGGAGCTGAAAATCTCTCAGCCTCAATATATGTTAGGGCCTTTTATGCTTTGTGTTTGACTCCTTGGGAAGACATATTAGCACTGGATTTAGAAGATTCGTAAATGATTTCAAATAACCAAAAGAACCATATGTATTGTGTACAACTCATTTCATGAAGACACTAACATATTGGATTGGGGGATCTTCATGAAAAAAGTTTATATGAATTTTATATTAAAATTTGACTAAATTATATTAATATTATATTATTATTTTATTATAAAATCTTAACCCATTATCTTAATCCATTAAAATCCCCTTTTATTATAGTTAGGGGGGAATTTCAATTTGTTATAAAGAAAGATAGCTTGGCAGCTATTTTATGGGATCACTGGTGCATGAGTGAGGTTTTTTCTTCCACATTCCCTTATTTCCCCCTTGCTGACTTCAGCTCTCAATATGATAAGTTGAATATTTGGATTGTTAACGATTCTTTGTTGATTCTGGAGTTTATTCCGCAGAATATTTAGAGTTTTATTGAGAAAATTCCTATTCTCATGAAAAAAATTCTCAAATCATGTGGGATATGAAGGATTATGGGGCCTTTAAGGATTATTATGCTGAATTTTTTGCTAAAGAACCAGATTTTATCTGTTCTCCAATGATATGGCACAGGAGACATTCTCTTAGATATTCAATTTTTTCATTGTTGACTCTTAAAGGTGGTCTTAAAACGGTGGAAGAACTCATAAAAAGAAATATTATGATACAAGATATACTATGCTCTTTTTGTCATAGTTGCAGAGAATCTCTTACTCACTTGTATTTTGAATATAAATACTCTTTTGCTATGCTGCTTAAATTACTATCGAGTTGCCAGAATTTCCTACTTAGGTCGAACGTCTCGTAGACATTTATGTTTATTGGGGGTTTTCTAGATGAGAAAATTTAAAAAAAAGGGATTTTGCTTACACTTAATGCTATCATATATCACATTTGTAGTGAAAGAAATAATAGAAAATTTGGTAATATTGTTGTATGCGCCATTACGTATCCTTGCCAAAATCATCACAAAGCCAGTAAGGTTTAAACTTTCGAAATGGAAAGGAGGGGGAGTTGGTGAAGCTGAAACAACACTTATAGTTTCTAAAGTGATTCTGTTTTGGCTATGTTTATCTGCTATGTTTTTATGATTTAATGATCATCATTGGGATGAAATTATACTAAGAAATTATGATGGATTGCTCGAATCTAAAATGTTCAGATTTCTTTTGCTACAATATTTCTTGGAGCTTTATCATGAATATTGATGGCCTAATTCGAGTTAGACAACTGCATAAAATGCGATTTTTTTGGGAATTGGACAATGATGATCATCTGTCATATCAATCCCCTTGGAAGGTCTTAGGGCAACCAGGGCAACATCTGCCTTGTCTCGTTGACAGATTCTACTAAGTTCAAGTAAGGAAGAAAATAAGCTAGCTAGCAAGCAAGATAAGTTGATCTCTTATTTAAATATAGATTTTGTCTCTTTTATGATGATTTTTATCCCTCATGTAAATGTCCATTACTCCAATTTTGTTTTTCTCGGGTATTGGAGATATCTTTATTGGTCTTAGCTTTCTTTCTACAAGTTTTCTTATGTTTTTTTCTTTTGGTGCAACTGCTTTTGATTTTATAATACAGGCAAATGCAAAAATTTTCCCCGAAAAAAAAAAACCCTTTTATTCCCTTTATTCTGCTAACAGAGACTCTTAATCAAAATTAGAGAAAAAAGATATAGGGAGAAAAAGAAATTTTAGGCTTTGGAAGCTGTAAAGTGATTTTAGTCAATCGATCTTGTTGGGAGATTTGCTCATTTCAATGTAAGGAATAATTATCCTATTTATGATTTCAATAAATTGTTATTTTTAAAATTTTTTGGATCAAATTTGAATTTCCGTTACAAAAAAATAAAGATAATTTTGTATTGTTAAAATTTTCATGGCGTAACTTTTTATATTTTATAGAGATTGAGATTATGATTATTTTGAATATTTATTTAAACTTTTTGCTATTTTATTTTTATCAATTCAAATTTTTATTTTAAAATATGTTGCGCTATAGATATATATATATACCTCAAGACTTAGCTCTTCCATTGATGGAGTAAACAGCTTGAAGGCTCACCCACTCCTCCTCTCTATTCTTACATTAATATTAAGGTGAGATTTGATCTATGATGCACAAGCACGGATACGACGCGCTACTCGGATATGACACGGACACGGATACGGGACACGTCATTTATTGAAAATATAGGACACGGACATGGGTTTGTCATGGTATTATAGTTTTAATATTTAAAAAATAGTGTGTAAAAATTAAATAAGTATAATTTTAAAAATAATTTGAAAATAATAAGTCATTTAACTAGAATTATGCTTAAAATGATTAGTATTAGGATGTCGAGAGTCTGGCGTCGATGTCGTTTATCAGTCACCGAGAGAGGAGATGAAAATACCTTCACTGTAAAAAAAAAATGAAAATGAGAATATTCGATGATTGTGTATTAAGTGCGGATATTGATTTGGTGTTGTGGATAGGAAATAAGAAATTTAGTTTAAATCCAGTCAAATACAAGCAATTATATTTAAAATTTTCATAAAATATTTAAGATACGCGTGTCGGACACTTGTGTCCAATTTGTATTTAATATTTTTTTAATCGGACACGTTTCGGCGTGTCTGACACGTATCGGAGCAGTGTCGGACGAGTGTCATGTCGGATACGGTGTCATACACTGCACGCCTCTTTGAGGAGAAATGTCGGTGCATTATAGGCTTTGATTGTATCTCCATTTCCCCTTCACAATATAATTTTCTCCACTTCCCACAAAGGTAATAAAATTTATCATAAAAATTTTTATGAGGAATTATTTATAAAAATTATTCTTCTTGATGTTACAATCTTTTATTAATTATCTCACTGACAATATTATATGATATTTTCTTAATATTTAGATTTCGTTTGAGACGGCTTTTTTACTGCTTTCTAAAACGGAGTTTTAATACAAAAATAAAAAAAATTGTATTAAAACTTCATTTTAGAAAACAATAAAAAAAGCCGTCCCAAACGAAGCCTTAGATGTTGATAAACTCTCTAATACTCTTTTCTCCGTTTAATGAATTTTTAGATATTTAGCTAAGACCATGCCATTTTATCCTTAAAAAAATTAAATTTAAAAATCATATTTTCTAATAATGCTTACGCCCAAAAATTTAGATTTAAAACGATCTCCCTTAATTCCTAAACTTTCAATAAAATATAACTTTTCGGGCATATAAATGCTACAAATTATGATGATCATATTTCTTTGAATCTTGGGCTTTATTTGAGACAGATTTTTTATTGCTTCTTAAAATAAATTTTTAGTACATAAATTTTATATTTTATACTTAAAAATTGCTTTAAAAAATGGCAAGAAAACTGTTTCTTTGACTTTTTTATTATTTTTTAAAACAGAGTTTTAATAAAAAAAATTTAATTTTAAATTTTTACTAAAACTCCTTCAGCAATAAAAAGACCGTCCAAACAAATCAACAACTTGAGGTTTGATCATTCATCAGGTAATCCTAACAGGTCATTCTAAACTTTAGCAATCGGGTATTATGGGTTAACCGAACGAAATGAGATCTGACACCGACCCAAAACCGACCCGAAACCAGCGCAGGATTGTGACCGCTTGATGCCGATCGGTCGGTAGTGTTGACTTGAAACAAAAGACTCGTCTCACACTTCCCACGGAACCTCTGTCCTTCCCCTCGTCTCTTTCTTGTCCGCTATATTATAAATAAATAAAAATAAGCGGTAAATGAGACTGCCGGGAGTGGGGTTTTAGGGATCAGCCAATCGCCTGAACCTTGGATGATAAGGCTTTGGATCTCCAGCAGCTCTGATTTCTATGTTTCTCTTTCGCATTCGCTGTTCTTCTTCTTCTTCTTCCTGTTCTCTCACTCGCTAGATGTGGACGGACTGATGCATCAGTGAACTCTTGAATTCTCTGTGGTGTGCTCATTGTCCTTGATTTCTTTGGGGTTCTGCTTTCTCTTTTGTAGCGCTATCGGGAGTGCACTTTTTCACCTGCCATTACTTTTTTATACGTTGATATTTCTAGATGATTGAACTGAGGTAGTTTTGTGTCATCTACGAATAATGTAGGGTTTAGGCGTTGCATATTTGTTTATTTTGGTTGATTTTTGTTCTAAGCATTTTGTCAGTGTTTATTTGTATTTGCTAGTGTTGCTTCTTTGGCAGGAGCTCACCTGTCCTCTTTTATCAGGTATTTGGAGGTAGACGTATAGCCAAGCCCATGTATTTTGGTTTCTTGGGAATTATTGTACCGTAAGAATTTATTGGAACTTGGTGCCTGTTATATGGCGACGTGCATACCATTTATAACATCATTTGATGCTCGTTCTTCAGTTCAAATTTCTGTTTTTCCTGGAGGAGGAATAGCATTGGACAGTGGAATTGGCAGAAATTGCTCACTCAGGTTCTGTCATGGCTGTAAAATCCCTTTTGTATTAGGGCAGAGGACAAACTTCACTACCACCTGCAATGCTAGAGTTAGATGCTGTTCAAATTCTCACATTATGAAATATCAGAAAAAAGATCCTTTTTTGAATATGCATCCTGAGGTTTCAATGCTTCGAGGAGAGGAGAATAGCACATTTCTTAATCCAAGGAAGGAGAATTCACCTGAAGTTTTCTATGAGGAAAAAAAGGGCTCATCTAATAAGAAAGATGATAATGCAGCCACAATAAAAGTTGTTGGAGTTGGTGGTGGAGGTTCTAATGCTGTCAATAGAATGATTGAGAGTTCCATGGATAGTGTGGAGTTCTGGATTGTGAATACAGATGTTCAAGCCATGAGGATGTCTCCGGTTAATCCTGGGAATCGCTTGCCAATTGGACAGGAGTTAACTAAAGGTCTTGGTGCTGGTGGGAACCCAGATATTGGCATGAATGCTGCCAAGGAAAGCAAAGAGCTAATAGAGGAGGCTGTTTATGGTTCTGATATGGTTTTTGTAACGGTAAGTTAATCATGATTTTGAAGTTATATTTGGCATCATAAAATCTGCAAATTGTGCAATGAAGGCATTGAAGATTTTTGTATTTAATCTTTGTTGCTTCAATTCTTCCAGGTTTGCTTTCATTAACACGTCAGTTATATCATTCTTCTTAATCTTATGCTCATAAGTTGTGCGATTATAGATAGATAGTTCCTTTTTTTATTTTTTGCTCTTCCTGGCTTTTTTCCTTGGACACTTCTTCTGTGGCATTGGTGAAAGGGATCCTTCTTAAAGCACTAACTTTGAACTTGGTCACAATTTAAATATAGTCACTACATGGATTTTGATTGTTGCATGGTATCTTCATAGGTTACGACGTGATATTAATGTTTCTCAAATTCAGTTTGTATTCATGCCAGTAGTTCTACTATGGAAGCTATACATCTGCTGAGATTTGATGGAGAAATATAGAAAGAGTAAGGAGGATCTAAATAAGATATTTATTGATTTATGGAAAGTATATAATAAAGTTTTAGGAGAAGTGATATGAGAAGTTCTAGAAAAAAAAGAGTAATAAATGCTTATGTTCAAGTCATTAAGGATGTGTACATGAGCTGTTATTGTGTTCAAACACAAGGTGGTTTGACCAAGTATTTTTTTGTTTCAATCGGATTACATCAAGGATTAGCTTTAAGCCCGTATCTTTTTATTTTAGTCATGGATGTTCTTACTAGACATTTGCAGGAGAATGTATCTTGATTTATGTTTTTTTATTGTTGATATTCTTCTTGTTGATAAGACTAGAGAGGGAGTTGATGAAAAACTTAAACTATGAAGGGCAACCTTAGAATATGAAGGTTTTCATTTGAGTAGATCTAAAATAGAATACATGGAGTGTAATTTTTATAGTAATAGATTTAGTAGTGGGATTGTGACATTAGGTGATCAAGTCATTAAAAAGAATGTACATTTTAGATATTTTGGGTCTATTGTTCAAAGTGATGGTGAAATAGATGAGGATATTATAAATTCAATTCAAGTTGGATGGTTAAAGTAGAGGAATGCATTGGACCTATTGTGGGATAGAAAAGTACCCCTCGAACTTGAGGAAAAAAATTATAAAATGGTGGTGAGATTTGCAATGCTTTATTGTGTAGAATGTTGGCTATTAAAAGAGAAGCATAAAATTAAGTTAAGTGTTGCAGAGATGAAGATATACTCAGGTGAATGAGTGGCTTTACAATTAGACACAAAATGCAAAACGAGTATATAGGTGAAAAATTTGGAGTAGCTCCAGTGGCATATAAGATTAGAGAGAGTCACATTAGATGATTTGATCATGTAAAACGTCGGCCTTCTAATGCCCTATTAGGAGAGTAGATGTATTAAATCCAGCCTATGTTAAGAAAGGTAGAGGTAGACCTAGAAAGACTTTGTTAGAAAGTATTAAAAATAATTTTTTTTATTAGATTTACATGAGAATCTAACTCTTAATAAGACACATTGGAGAAAACAGATTCATGTAGTTGACCCCACGTAGTAGGATAAATGCTTGTTGTTGTTGTTGTTGTACCTTTTCTCTAGCCATCTTTAGCCTCTTTATTTTTTTTTTTACTTTTATTTATTTCTCCAGCCATGATTGTTCCTTAGCATGTTATCTTATACACTTCAATTGGGACATCTGTTTTAAATTGTTTTTGTTATTTTGTAACTTAGCATGCAACTTCATGTTCAGGCTGGGATGGGTGGGGGAACTGGGACTGGTGGTGCTCCTGTGGTTGCTGGAATCGCAAAGTCAATGGGTATACTAACAGTCGGTATAGTTACGACTCCTTTTTCATTTGAGGGAAGAAAACGAGCAGTTCAGGCACAGGAAGGAATTGCAGCTCTTAGGGAAAACGTTGATACTCTTATTATCATCCCAAATGATAAGCTTTTGACTGCTGTTTCTCCAACTACACCTGTGACTGAAGCATTTAACCTGGCAGATGATATACTAAGACAATGTGTTCGTGGCATCTCTGACATAATTACGGTATTGTTTTTTACCTCTTTATATGGTGGAATTCTTCCTTAAATTTTTTTATTTGCCTTGACACTTTAAAATGTATACGTTAGTGAAGGAGTTAATTTTACTCATTTGTGTTCGACTCTACCAAACGTAATGCAACAATCTCATAAGCTATTGCACGTGCAAATCTTACTGACAGTCGGTCAGTTTATCATCCTCATATGAACTTTTTTGAATCTAAATTGCATAATTTCACTTCATTCGCTAACTGTATATGCTGTTTATTCTTTTACACCTTTTTCTGCTTCATTCATATAAACTGCTTATATCTAATATTTATCAACAATTTGACTTTTTCTGCAAAGTCTTTTCCTATTACAAACTTAACTAAGTTTAAAGTAAAATTAACACGGAAATGACATTTGCTTTATCTCTTATTTCTAATCTGTTCTGAGATGATCCTTTCTATTGTAAAATAGGTCTAAACAATACTATTTCTCATAACTGACATTTTAAGAGCTTAGATTAATTCAAATTTAATGTTTTTTCCAGTTTAAGGTTTAATTCGTTGAAAAAAAAGCATATAAACATTTAATTGGTATGGATCACATAATTTAATGATTTTTTTTTTTAAATCCATTCATCAAGTTGGAATGAACCTAGTTGTTGGTCTCATCTTCACTAAAATAGTTTGTAACCAAATCGGTAACTGCCAGATGCTGAATTTGCATACAATTGAATGAAGCTAATGCTTTATCCTTTATAGTAATTCTCCAGATTTCTTTTCTTTTGTCATAGCTATTACCTCCTTTTCTTCTTTTTTAATATCTAGCTAGTTATATGGATTATGAAGAGTAGGAGTGTCAAATATAATATCCAAGATTTAAAGCTTATTTGACTAAACTCTCTGAACACGGTGTGGACTTTGGCTAGTTCATATTTATGCTGGTCTTAGATGAGCTTCTTACTAAGGCTCATTTAGGGCCATTTAAAATAGCAAATATCTCCCCTAAAATTTAGATAAATTGTATGTCGATTTACTATATCAATTTGGTCATTTCAGCAATGGACATCAGGTCATAGGTAGGGCCGATTTGAATACTAAAAACTCTAGACTCAATTTTTAAGTTGAATCTCTTCACAAAATTTTTTTAGTTGAGTTTTGAGCCAATTTTTTTGACTCAGAACTCATTTCCAGTCAATTTTGGTTTTATGATAGCTTGATCAAATGTGCTTAAAATCAGCGTGGAATTAATATTTACTCATATGTATTTGATACATTGTGTAAAGAAAAGACTTGTTGGCTTATTGGTATTTTTTTTTCACATTTATAAGGGGTTGTGGTTCAATATCGCCCTTTAAAATTATTTTCATTTTAAATTTGAGCTAGCTCAGAATCAATTGAAGTCAAGTTTAGACAGGTTGACTCAAATTAATTTGATTTTGAGTCATTTAATGATAACTAACTAGTGGTATTGATGGGCATACAATCTTTGTGGTGGACAACTACATTGTTGGTGGCTATTGAGGGTGGTTGCTGGTTGTGGCACGACATGGTGATAAAGGGTGATATTCGGTGAGTTGTTTGTGAGCCGAACTAGCAACTAGTGACAGTGGGTGGAAGTTGCAATTTAGTGTGGGCAATGGCAGATGATGATGGGTGTTTAATTGATAAACAAGTTTGTGGATTGACCTTAAACTCATTAATATCGGTTATGTTTATACCCATACCTATTAGGGCCAACACCTTGAGCTTTAAAAAGGTGAGGCTTACAAACTTATATTATAGCCCAACCCCCTTGAACCTAATTAAGAGTCAACCTTTTTCTTTATTTCTACTTGCTAAAAACTCTAACTTACAACTGCTGCTATTTTTTATCATTATTTAAAAGCATATTTAATCTTTGATAATGTTTTGTACCTCCCCATTCCTCTAATAAATCTTTGTATGCATGCATGAGCTTTTTTTAGACTCTTTTAGAAGTTCTACATGATCTGCCATTTCTTAATATTTTTTATCTTAAACAGTCTATTTAGGATGATCAATAAATTATCACCTTTCAAGTTTTCCATTCCTAACCCTTAATAATTGTGGCAATGTGGCATGCCAAAATATTCGTGGGGGTAGAGTCATTGAGTTTAATATTTTAGCATTGTTTAAAGATTCAATATACGCACAAATAAAATAGGAGTTGTAAGAGACGGTAGAGTTTTATTTGTTAAATCTAGAAAACAGAAAACTCACAGAGCTTTCTAAATTAAAATGATTCAACTAGTGTTTGTCATTAGTTACGAATTATGTGCTTCATCGGTAAATGGTTTGATACAATAATAAATATGCAATATATAAAACGTATTATGCAGTGGAAGTTGAAAAAGTCCTGTGACATAGGAGTTGTTTTCAAGAGATCTTTTATTGTTTATTTGACCATTTTCTTTTGAGGAGGGGAGATTGTAGACCAAAAAGTTCAACATAAATTTTGGTGCTAATGCTAGTACCTCGTGCTTGTCAATGACGAATGGTGCACCATAGCATAAAATTCCATGTGGAGCCATGGTGAATAGAGCACGGCACGACGTGCACCATTTTAAACATAGCGCACAATATAAAATAATTAAAATGTATATTTATTTATATTAAATACCATTAAATAACAAACAATAGATTGATTAGATCAAAATTTAAGTATAAATATCTTGTCAAACATAAAAAATGTCAATTTTAAATCCCATAGAAACTTACATCAATTGATTTGAGCAGGATTAGCCTAAATCCCACCAAATAGCAAAAATGATAGTTTTAATTCCTAAAAAAGTTATTTTTTAAAATATTTTATTAATTTGATGTTTAATTAATTAATAATTAATTGTTATATTAATGTATAAACATTTAAAATTTTAATTATAAGTTATAATTTGAAACTTATAACATGTCAACAAAATAAAGTGCGCCATTTGCGCCTTGGCTCATTGGCAAATTGCACATGCTTGACTCAAATAGCGCTCGCTATTTTGATGCGCCTCGCCGCGCTACGCACCAGGGCGCACGCCATTTTGCATAGATTATTAGCAATGACAAATAATGAAGTCAACAAGCAACAATGTTGCCAACTTATATTGATCAGGGAGTCATAGTCAAGTGATGGTGATCAGAGGACTGTGGTCGGATAACTGTGTTCGAATGACTATGGTCGGGCAATGGTGGTTGAAAGATTGTGGTCGTACGAAATGGATGGAGGACCATAATCTGGCGATCATGGTTAGAGAACCATAGTCGGATGACGGTGTTCTGTGATCGTAGTAGGGTGACTGTGTTCAAAGAATTGTAGTTGTGCAATTATAATCGGAGAATTGTAATCAGGAAAACGGTGGGTGGAGGGCCATAATCGAGCGACAATGGTCGAAGACTGTAAACAAGCAACGATAGTCATGAGACTTTAGTTTGGTGGTGGTGTTGGTTTAGTTGGTCGAGAGATCTTAGTCAAACGATAATGGTCGGGAGATTGTAATCAAGCGACAGTGGTCGGAGGATCATAGTTGGGTGATGGTGGTTTGGTTGAGGTGGTCTGTTTGTAGCGATTAGGCGGTGGTTCTCGGATGGAGCGTTGTAATTCTTTAAGCCTTAATTCTAGGTCTAAGCCCTAAGAGTGGCATGCCCCGTAAATATGATCAAAATTATGCACACTTCATCGAAAAATATATATTAATTTCCTTGATTATTGATCGTTTTTTCAACATTTAAGTGTCTTAATAATATCAAAATTAAGAGAGTTTAGATTTATTGGATTTATCTCATCGAGATGCTCTATTTGACTATAAGCATGTGAAAATTGAAGATTATTTGGTTCTTCAATTAATCTTCTTAAGTTTTATATTGCACTTCAACTGCTCGATTTGAGCTCATTTGGACTCGAATTGGATCACTTTCGACGTTGATGAGTTCGTCTTATCAAAATGTTTAGTTTGGTCATACGTTTGCTAAAATCAGGGTTTGGATGGTCTTGAACTAAATTTCAGAATTTTTCTATTCAAATATTTATAAAGATTCATGCCCAATCAAGGCGATTTTTTCCTAACATGTTAATAATTAGTTATTTTCTTTAACTTTTAATAATTCTTAAGAAATACATCCATAGCTTGTGTTTCCTCAATGAAATAATATGTATCTGTGAGATGTTTTTAATTTTGAAAGTAACCAAGAGCTCTTCTTACTTTTTGAAAGTATGCATCGACTATTTTAGGATAACGCTCAACCACAAAATAAAGTGCATGTTTTATTATTACATTTCCATTTCCTAATTCATGTCTATCATGAATCTTCCAATTGCTCTTCCTTCTAGAACTTGCATGTCAACTAAAGCGCTACTGATGTAACAATCCAAACATTTCTTTCTAAAATTGATTTTTCAGATAATCTTCTAATCCAATTTAACTATCATAAGCCACCAAAACTTATCGATGATATCTTCACAAAAAAAAACTTAAGCATTCACTCTAACTCCATTCATCTAAATAATTTCATCTTTTGCTTATCTCATCAATCTTCTAATCTAATTTAAAGATCATAAATACTAACCTTATAAATAATATCCTCATCAATAATGAACTTAATAGCAAGCACGCAATCACAAACTCTATTCATCTAAATAGTTCCATCTTTCAATTCTCTATCCATAGCAATCCTTATTTCATTTGTATTGTTGATTTTATCAACATATAAAGAATTTGCGATCTTCCCCAATATCTTTGAATTTTTTTCTGTCCATTTAGTTTCTTGCAAACATGCTATATCAATTCTTCTTCTAAACATTAAAAAAAAAAAAAAAAAAAATCTTCTTCTAAACATTGTGTCCACTAAGTCTTTAGCCTTCCCACTCAATAGCCCAATTTTATTTAATCCTTCTAATCCTTTTTAGACTCAGTCAAATCTTATCCATTTTCAGGTTGAGGCATCTTAGCCAATGGAATATCATACCACACATTTGTTAATGCTAGCTAGTTTAGTTGGTGAAAACTTTTGAAAGTTGTTTGAAAGGTCTTGGTCGCCTAGACCAATTATATATATACACCCATACACTTTGTAAGAATGAAGTGTCTATTTACTAAAACCTCTTATATGCAAATCCTTTTATGATGCTCATTCTTATTATCTAAACTTGGTTTAGTCCATTGTAAAGCCTAACATTGGTGTAAACGAGTCGAGTCTAGCTAGAGTCACACCTAACTCAAGCTTGGCTCATTCAATCAGGGTAAGCTTGAACTAGAGCTTGAGGCGAGCTTGTGTATTGAGCTCAAGCTTGACTTGCTAAACTAATTGTAAGCTCGAGCTCGACTCAATAGCTTCTCAGAGAAGGCACAACCTAAGCTTGCTGAGGAAGCATCAATGAAGTGATGGCTCGCTAGAAAAGGCATCTAGTCTCTAGAGAAACCATTGCAATAGCAGCTCAGTGGAGAAGATGTCGAAGGCAAAGAGCTCAGTGGAGAAGGTGTCCATAGCATCTTTTTATTTATTTATTTATTTAAATGATAGCAGTATAACAATAGATTTAATGGCAACAACGAAGAGCATTATCTTTATTTTCTTGAGAAATTATAATAGCTTTATTTATTTTTTTATTTTTAAAAGATTGAAGTATAACAACTTTAAATCTATTTTAATATAAAATTGAAAGACACGAGACAGCTCGCGAGCCAACTAGTCGAGTCCAGCCTATCTTGAAACTGGACTTGTATATCATACGAACTGTAATGTGAGCTCATACTTGAGCTAATGACTCAAAAACTCAACTCACGAGCTTGTTAACGAGTTGAGTTAAAGTTGGCTCGTGTGCCGGCTTAACTCACTTACTCCCCTATGCCTAATAGCCCCCTAACACTTACTAGGGTATGCTTATACTCTTGGAAGATAATAGACCAATGAAATCAAACTAAATTCAAGTAGTCTATTAAATTACTGGAATCTACTTGCTGCATGCAATCTAATTTATAAATAAGATCCAGAAAATCTATCATTTTGAGTGAGCAATAATAAACAAAATGTGATGCACAAAAACAAACTCAAGATATTGACATGAAAATACGCTTCACTATTTTGCTGATTTGACACATCTTGGAAATATAGTATAGTATATTCCTAGGATATGGGATTACACTTTATTTGTAATTGCATTTAAAAACTCTTAACTTGTATTATGTACATAAAACAAACAATTAGCAATTCATATTGCCCATGACAAAACTTAGCAACACATCAGGTGAGCTAGATGTAATAAGAAAGACAGAAATGGAGAATAGTAGTAAGAGAAATTGAAATCCGAGTAATATGGGTTTGTAGTAAAAGTTTTGAGTAACATAGTTCGTGTTAACTTTTTGTCCATGATACGTGCATAATAGCTTGTATTATATGCATAAAATATAAAATTGCTAGTCCACATTTCCTACTGTAAAACATTAGCAACACATCAAGCGTCAAAGCTGTAATAAGAATGTGATAGAAATAAAATATAAGTAAGATAATTTAAAATTTGTGAGGGTTTGAATATAAGTTGTGTTCAATTTGTGTCTTCCGGGCATTCATATTATGTCTAGTGGGTAATATCTAACGAGCGTTAAAAACTCTTCTTGGAACGTAGAGTTTGAGATGCCATATGACATATATGATAGTGTGTTATTCTGTGTTTAAATGTCTAACGGCAACATTGCATGTTTCCATATAAGAATGCCCAATCTATGGCTATCAAAATACGTACGCCTAGTACAGCCAAAAGAATATGGTAACCGGGGTTCTTTGTTCCCAGATACCTTTTTGTACTAAAATGTAATGTGTGCTAGAAATGCATAGAAGCGTCAATGTTTCCAAATGTTTATTATATTCAGTAGCATTCTCTTACCCAGTTGTTGACTAATAACTGTAAACCTATGTGCTTAAACATTATAATTATGGGGGCAACTGAAGTATCCAAAGAGCATAAATATGTTATATGTGATTTTCACTACAGAAAACATGACAGCTGTACAGTTGTGCTTGTTCTTTTCTTTGACTACTAAACCAATATGAGTTTAATCATTCTATTTATTTACTTCTTGGCCTTAATTATAGGTTCCTGGTCTGGTTAATGTTGATTTTGCTGATGTGCGGGCCATAATGGCAAATGCTGGTTCATCTTTAATGGGCATTGGAACAGCAACGGGTAATGCAGATAGCTATTTTTATGAGAAGTTACGATTTTGTCTGCTGAATCTAATGCTTTGATAAATTTTATATGCAAAATGATTACAGTTGGATGCATCCTTTTTAGCACTTGCTAGTGTAATTCACATTAAATATTTGACTCGTCAACAATGTAATTCTCTTAAATGATATTTTTTGGAACTGAATTGGCTGAAACCAATCCGAGAGAGGAAACCCTGATTGGTTTTGGTGCACTTTTAATAGCAATCTCTCACCGATGTAGGTTCATACATGATCTGATGCATTCCTCCTCTAATTTTTCCGGTTAACCTTTTCTTTCCGGTTCTATTGATATCTTTTAGAAGAGTTATGATAACTTTTCTTTCATGGTTTAACAAACTAAATTTTGTTATAAATTTGTTACTAACTCCTTCAATTCTTCAACTGAATATTGAATAGTGCATTTTAACATCTTTTGCATCTCTTATTAACATTATATCTTTCGAAGGTCTACTCTTTTACTGAATTTGATATCAATCTGATCATTTTTTTTCCATCTAATCGATGAGGCTATGTTTTAGGAAAAACTAGGGCAAGAGATGCTGCGTTAAATGCCATTCATTCACCATTGCTAGACATGGGCATTGAAAGGGCTACTGGTATTGTATGGAATATCACCGGAGGATGTGATTTGACGTTGTATGAGGTAAGGAAAGTTCAGCAAGTTATTTCTCCTTTTTTTTTGTGAAGCATTTGAATTATTTTTTTGTCACCCTAAACGCAATACCATCCTGATATGTGCATAAGCAGACTTCGTAAAACTTCTAAAAATGAAGAATTGGTAAGAAGAAATAATAGAAGATGAAGTGTTCGAGTAATTGATATAATTCATTAATTTTGAAGTCCTTATGGATATAGATGATGACGTGAGGTGAAAAATAATTTGATACTAAGAAAAAAAATGAAAATAGTACGAAGATAGATCAGAAGAAATATTGCAAATGTTTAAGAACCGCTGATTGCAATTCTTGAGTTGAGCAAGTATGTGACATCTTAAAAGAATTTTCAAGCCACATCTCATCCATGACAAAGCAAAATTTTCTACATTCTGATAGGAATTACTTGGTTCACAAGTAATTCTAACCCAAACCAATAAATTTACAGCAGCAAACTGCTGTCCACAGCAGAGAAAACAGCAGGAAAACTGGGAAATCTGAGAGAAAACGCAAGAAACAGCTTGTATTTCACTAGCAATGAAAGCAAAACAAAGAAAGATACAACGTTCTTCGATTCGAGAGGAAGAATAACTCTCCACAAGTCTCTAGCAAACCCTAGAGCCCAAGAACACCAAGAGATCTCAAACTTCTCATTCAAATTCAAGATGATCCCTAATTCCCCCCCAATCTCCTAATTAAACAAAAATAATCATAAAGGACAATAATGGATTTCCTAAAACAGCCCCCTTCATTCAAATTTCTCCCTCCCAAATCAGAATTAATCCCACGTGGGGTCCACGGGGAGTTCCGCCCCTTGCTGCCGTTTTTGCCCAGCCCGTCTCACGTAGCAGTGGACCGGTCCCTGTTGGACCGGGCCAACCGGCCCATCCTGGGCCGGTCTAACACATTCACGGTTAACCATGAAGGCGGACTATTACTTTTCTATCATCACTGATAGTTGGCCTTGATGGTTGTCCTACTTTCTTTTCCTTTTGATTCAATTGTTGCGTATAAGGTTGTCCTACTTTCAAGTCTCATATACTTGCAATATTTTTTATGATTAAAGTACCTATTAGCAGTTGAAATTTAATTCAAGTTTTTAGTGTGCATGCTATCTGTAGCTTAGAAAAGTAGTTCGTTCTAAGTTCTTATTAACTGTCTCCATATGGTGAACTTAATTGTTAGTCCATAATTAAATCTTAAATATTCCCTTTTGTTACTCTGAAAAGTTTAAAATGTAGTACTCCATTTCAGCATTTCTTGCTCTTGATCCTAGTTCAGCAAAACTCGGATTATTGTTATTCCTCGTGGAACAGATTCTGGAATTTTGGAATGTTTATCTTCTTAGTTTTCTTGTTTCATTTCTCATGTCCTCCTGTTTCCTGCTTTTGTCTGGATTCTAACTGATTTTCGACATTGAAATGGGAAGTTGTTTTTCGAAAGATTAATATGATCTTGGCAGTTGGAAACCTTTATTGTTTCAACAGATTGATAGTTTTTGCACTATCATTTGAACCCAACAGCTCATGTTTCTATTATGTTTGGCCATGACTGGAATACTTCTTTTTAGGTAAATGCTGCAGCAGAAGTAATTTATGATCTTGTTGATCCAAGTGCCAATTTGATATTTGGAGCGGTTATAGACCCTTCAATTAGTGGTCACGTAAGTTTATCTTCTTTTTCTTGGTTGCCTCTTGTCATGACTTGCTGTTTGGACGTCTTCGCTTAATTCAGATTATTTTGCATTTTTCATGAATAAATTATAGTAATATGGGAGCAATCTTTCATTGTTTCAAGAGTATAGTAGAAGCTATTCTTTAGTACAAGTAGATTGGCCGCATCAAATAGAAGATCCGAAACTTAAAGAAGGAGACCAATCTACTTAAAAAACAAAATCAAGAGTACGGATTACCTGATAATCTAACCATCGCTGCTGCTCAACTCCATGGAAGAGAAGCAAGTTCTCCCCTAATGAATGATAATAAACCATGCAAGAGGGCCTTCTCAAGATGGTGCCGTAAGTTCTTTGCCTACATCTGAGCTATGGCAAACATGTGGGTGGTAGAGCTCTCGCCTCTTAGATTTTTAGTCAAGGATTTTACTCTCCCACTACAAAACAATAGTTAATCTAGTTTGTATAGAAGTGCATAATTTGTCAGATTCATTCAAATATGGCTCATTTCTCATCTATAGAACTATCCTCCGTACAGATTCCCTGACCTGTTGTTCAAGGGGAATTAACTTTTATTGATTCTTTTAATCTTGGAGACTAGAAAATATTTTAATAATAACCTTAAGAGGACTGATTGGAAAATATGAATTAAAATGAGATATTGATTGCAAAGTTTTGCTTTTAAAATTCAAAGGAGTGACAGACTAGGAGAGAGGAGAGAGAAATTTAGCTGGAGAAAATCAATGAAACTAATCTAAATTCCCTCCACAAAATTCTCCTCTTCATCCTAGGGCTGACCATATTTTAAGGAGGAAATCTAGTAGTGAATTATCTATTTTAAAGGATTGTTCCTACCTTCTAGTTTCTTTTGAATTTTAATAGATTTCTAGATTTTTTTGGACACCCATAAAATAGAGATAAAATTTATAATTTGAGTTAATTTTTTTAGTGGAATCGTAATTACCACTTTCAAAACTTTCTCTAAATACCCATCTCTTTCTTCTCCTTTCAATTTTAGTGGTATAGTCACTGTAATAGTTATAACTCATACAAGTGTCAACCTTCACCCCTTTTACTCTCAGGTTTATCCAACACCAATCCAACTACTGAGAACATGCTCAAACAAATGTATGGCTATTGTTTGCTCCCTATTTTGTGAAGAACAGCAAAATTATTCATTGTTTAGATAAAAAAAACAGTGAGAAAATTATTATCCGTCAAATTATTCCATAGAAGATCAATTTCCTTGTCTATATACTTCCTACCCATTTCATAAGCATTTTGCATAGCCAATTCCAGATTATAATTTTGTATTAGTTTATTAGTTTCAACACTTTGGAAAAATTTTCATGGTTTAATGACAGACTGAGAAAGATACTCTTTGTTATTCTATGTAGCCTAAGATCTACGGCTATAAGTATATATTGCAGATAATTGAAGGTGGGCTTTTCAATATGAAAGAATAAATGGTAAGCATGATGATAGGAAATACTTGAGTTCTCAAGTAACCTAACCAAAATCGGTGAGCAAACAGCGACTGAACTGCTGTCCACAGCAGGAAAACACAGCAAAACTGCTGTTTACAGCAGTTTAACAGCAGAATTTCAGAAGAAATCTGAAAGAAAACTCAAAGCAATACTTGTATTTCACTAGTAGATGAATAAAATAGCAAGATACAATTGATCCTCAATTCGAGAGGAGGATCGATCTCTCCCAAATCTCTAGACGCCGCTAGAGCCCAAAGAAAACCTAACTCTAAGATACCTCAAATTTCAGCCAAATTCAAGATACTCAAACCCTAGGAAAATCCACTATTTAATGCATAAAAATCAAAAGGAATTCGCTAAACAGTCCCTACATTCAATTTCCCTCCTAAAACCCATTCAAAAATCTTCCTAAATGAGCTCCCGTGGAACATGCGTGCGTGCGGCTGACGGAAGAGGCGGAGATGTTCCACCGGTTCTCCGCCTGGGCCGGTCCCGCGTGGACCGGCTGGACGGTCCATTGGACCGGTCTAACACATGACTGATCAAATAACCACAATGAATGAACAAATGTCCATAATGAAGTTGCAAATGGCTACACTGATGATTTTCTTGGAAGCTCTTATTGCTAAGGTAATATAATCATCTTATGTTCCAACACCTGTCAATACAGAAAAGCGGCATCTAATAGAAGATAACAATCTATAAATGAGAGTCATCAAGGAGTAAAGCTAAGAAGAATATATAAAAGAGTGAAGAACCAGAAGATCTTCCTTGTAAGGTGGAGGCAAAGTATGATTGCTTTAATACAATATAATAGTTAAATTTATGGTAATGAACAACTAGTTAGAGCTTCTAGAAACATATTTCAACGTTTACAATTACCATAATAGAAAAAAAAATATTTTCCTGTTTGAAGTTGTCCTTGAATATTTTAGTTTGGTGGAATTCACAATCTAAAATTAGGAGGTATCAATCTTGACATGGTTAGAGTTTAAAATATTGTTAAAAGTTCAATTTTATCGCATTGGACATGAAGAAGAAGAGTGAATCTGATAGCAAATTTGAAGCAGATCAATAAGAAAAAATTGTAAAAATATTGTATAAAATTTTGAAGGCAAACAACTACTTTAGAAGGTTCATTAAATGAGAATTTTGTATTCATGAAATATGTAGTAGGGCTTCATAGAAGCCCTTTGTAAAAAAGTTGTTATACTTTAGAAAAGAAATAAGTCTCTTTCCGTTGAATAGAAATACCAACGTGTAATTGTAAAGTAGAAGACCGAAGTTTTAACCACATGTGAGAAACACACTAGACTATTATATCACTGCTACAAGAAGCTAAGGCATGAGCTCAAGAATTGCTAGAGTTTACATTCCAAAAAAATTAGGCCAAAGTGAGAGGACAAAAAGAAAAGAAAAAAATCCTATTTGCTACTTAAAAGAAGTACTTGAAGTAGGGTTGATCTTGAACTGTCCTTGATGTTGCATGCACTTGCTATTAGGAAAGCTAAGGAGTAATATTTTCACCTCAAGCTTCTATTAAAATCTACCCTCTTGGATGTTATTTTGGATCCATAAAATGGAAAGAAGTAAGAACTTTATCTCCACAACTTTAGTTGATTGACTTAATTGCTCAGAATTCAAAATCATATTTTCAAAGCTGGTTTCGAATTGGCAATTTTTGTCGGGCCATTAGGCAATGTACTTTTAAGTTTGCTTTATTTAAAGATTTCATTTATGTGATGGTTTGTAAAGTATATACTACTGGATGTATGTCATGTAATTTTGCATAGTTCATATATGTGAGATAATATTGTTATATTCTTTATAAGACTAGCACAAATTTGGTCGTGTAAAGAGAGAAAATGTATAGAGTCAATCAATCCATTGTATCACTATTAGAGGAGATGGAGAAGGCCTTAGAAAGCTTGTCAAGACGATGCTTACCACATAACAAACCCAAGTCATATCCATTAGACAAAAAAATACCAGTCACTCGGGTACATAGTTAGCAACTGCTTGCTAACAGTTGTGTGAAAACTACCATCCAACTGTGTGGTGCTTGGCTACACTACACTCCATCTCTGGTGAGCACATGCACAAGCTCTACGCAAATGCAGGTCCTATCATTAACATCCACTAAATTAGGCTTTTCCCCAGAAAAATAGGTTAGAAATAGGATTGAATCATGCCTTGCTCACTGCTTGAGCCACAAAACATGAACCAGAAAATGGGCCTGATGTTTCAAGCCTAAGACCTAGCCCATCCAAGTTCATACAATTGGACTTTGGAGCATCCGTACCACTTAATCAATTGAGCCTAGCCAATATTTGACCCATGAATGAATAGGCCCAATGGGCCTGTCAAAATCTCAGTCATCCCTTGGCATTTGATCCCACGGTCAGGATGAGAATCCGTGGGAGGCTCACTTGGATCACGCCAATATCTTTCTATATTTGGGTAGCTGAATTAGGAAGGATTATATTGAGGCAATTATGTATCAATTAGAAGTTATTTATTTCTTTATTAAGACATCTTGTATAGATCTATAAATAGGGATAATTTTGTATAATAAGTAGAAGGTATTTTTACCCTTCTCAAATTCTATGAATTCTAACAGGGCCAAGTTTAAAGCCCGACCAGCAGGATTTATGAAAAAATGTAAGGCTGTTAGTAGTTCAACATTAGAACAAATTTTCCACCAGCAAGAACAAGTTAAAATGACATTCAAAGTTTCATTTGCATCAGTTTCATATCCACAGAGTCAACTCATGATATCTTAATTCACCACTTTGAGAGGACATCCACATTGATATCCTAGGAATGGCTGTAGATTGAGAAAATCAAAACTAAACTCCTTGCTCAATAGGATTCTTTATATAATTGATTCTTATTGTTATCTCTGACCGTCCTTTGTGATCCTATCCTCTATGCTCTCACGTAATTGCACTTGGTTTATATCCAGCCCCCAAGTTGGGATTCACAATACCAATTTTTTATTTCGCTATTTGGGAGGCTATTCACGTGTTAGCATCATTCTATTTTTTATTTTCTTCAGTCTTCCACAGTCATAATTGTTCTTGCTCCACATAGAACCACATCATTGCATGTTATGTTAGTGCTACTTTTATGTCATTTAGATAAATAAACATAAAGATAAGTGTTAGATATATAAATAAAAAGGAATTTTAGGGTATGCATGAAAATCCCTTATATTAATATCTTATATTCTATGGAACCAATAAAATGTATTTAACCAACTGTGTACACAAGTCATGCATAAAAAAGTAGGATTTCTTATGATTGTGTTTGTTGTCTAGTAAGGATTGAGCACTTGTATATATATATATATATATTAAGTAGGATTTCTTATAAGGCAAATAAGTTTTTTTAAATCCATCATCTGATTAGATATAATTAGACTCCAAACATTTATTTTAAGAGTGATTTACATACATACCACTAAATTTCTAGGTATTTACATATCTAATATCTAATCTTATATTTACTTATATAACACTATCTTTAAATCACACATCATACCAATCACTACTATAATTTATCTAAAGTGAAACATATATTTTTATGCATATGTTTTGATGTAATTTTGATATTAGGATGTTATCTAAATAATATTTAGATTTTAGATATATAACACATAAGAATTCTGTGGTATGCCTATAAATCTATTTATATTCTACAAACATTTTCAGAAACTCTCACAAATGATATTTTTTCCTTACTTTCAAAATCAGTAGAAATATCATCATTATTTTCTATAAAGTTTCTATTTACAAACAACCAAATAAGCTTTTAAAAATATATGCAAGCTTTGTTACCAATTACCATATCAAATACCGAGCTGAAGGATGACCCACCATTCTATTCAGGTGAGCATCACCTTGATTGCAACAGGTTCAAACGCCAGGAAGAAATTGATAGCCGCATATCCCGGTACTCCTCTGCACTCTTATTCCACTTAGCCCCCACTTCTGCTTCATTGTTGACCCATACTATCTTGCAATGCAATCTGTAGGGAGCACAGCTGGGTGGTCCTGACAACCTCGGCGCCGGTAGACGCACCAGCCTCTTCTCTCGCCGAAGAACCACATTCGAGATTCCAGAGTTTCTAAAAAGAAAGGGAGATTACGCTATCCAAGAGCTTGATAAATTTCGATCAGTAGCTACCATTCAGTTTTATTTCTTTATGTTTTTATACGTCACCAGCTGGTCTGTGCAATATTCATTATTCGTTGTTCTGTTCTTTCCTCCTTTTTTCTATTTGGATTTGAAACTAGTAAAACTGGAAAGCTCTGGGTAATGATGCTTGTGTTTGACTTCCATATTGTTTAGTTTGATTGGACAAAGGAACCAATTGTAAAAAATAGATTTGTTTTTTTCATTTTTGCTGAAATGACTAGTTAGCTTACATGTTTGATGTGGTTTGAAAAGTCTCAGAGTTTTGCCCACTATCTAGAGATTTGTCTTTTTTAATATATATATATATATATATATATTACTATATATAATATATATATATAATATATATATATATAGGGAAACGAGGTATCTATCTGCCGCCAACCTTCTAACGAGGTTCTTAGCGGCGTAACTAATCCCTCGGTTGACCTAGAAGAGGCATCCACCCCTATAACCTCTTGGGCTGCACTTATTTGGGCACCATTTAAAGAGGCATTGCCACTCGAGGGGATTCGAACACGGGTTAGGAGGTTTCCAACCGTATTTTTAGTTTGATGTTTTTCATCTCTCAATATCTAGGGAGAATTATCGATTAATAATAGTCATGAGTTTTATATTAATTTTCCATTTGTGATGATTTTTCATAATGCCTTAACTTTTGTTTTTGTATTATTAATTTTGTGAGCCTTAAATTGTTATCTTTGTATATTATTAATTTTTCGTTAGTGATGGTTTCTCATAATGGCTGGACTTTCTATCTTTGTGTTTTATATTGACTGTCTCTCTTATGTTTAGGAGTGGGGATTTTTTTAGGAAAGATCATCAAATATTCTTATGTTTAGGAGGAGAGATTATTCGGTTCGGACATCGGACACAGCTTACTGTTCAGTACTTCAGAATATCGAGTAATACTTAACTTGGTACTGTGAAGTATTGAGTTTGGTACTTCACAGTACCGAGCAGTATTGAGCTGGGTACTGAGCAGTACCGAACTCAGTACTGCTCTATATTGTAAAGTATTGAGCTTAGTACCGAGTAGGGGGTGATGTGGCGCATTTTCATTGGGCTCCGGACGTTGTCTGGTGTCTGAATTCAATAATTTCCCGTTTAGGAGTGGGGATTTGATGAAGTACTTTCAATATTTTAGGGTTCCCTCATACATTTTGTATCATTGTATAGTATGATTGTTGACTCAATAAATAGTTGAAGGATGTTGATATTTTAAATTTTTTATATGAGAATCCTTAAAATTGTCTGGTTAAAGGATTCTGATAAATTAGAGATGAAAACCTTGTTTAGGAGGTTTATTTAGGCTTGGTTTGGTAAAATTTTTAATGTTATTTTTTGTTGCTCTGAATAAATTTTTATATTAAAAATATAATTTAAAAAGTAGTAAGAAAATTGCCTTAAACAATAGGAAATTTTGTATGACAAAAGGTTTCATATACTAATCAAATGCATCAAATAACTCTTAACTTTGGGGTTATTGGAGACAGGGTAGGCTTTGAATTTAATATGATTAAGGTTTTATGTGGGATAGTTTTTTTCCTGTTTTATAAAGATATTATAGGTAAAATAATTATTTAAAATTGTTATAGAAAGTAATTTTTAAAATAATTAAAAAATAATAGTCAAATAGAAAATATGATGACAGTTTAAAAAGCAAGAAAGTTGTTTCAAATGAAGCTTAAATTATTCATTAATATGTTCATAATCATCCAACTTGAAGATATTTGTTAGGTCATTATTGATGTCTCCTACAGTTGTAGGATAATATATTATTATTATTATATTTGATAGCTGCGAACATAATCTGTATTGTGAAGGCCTCATTGCATTGATCATTATTGTAATTGTAATTTTATTGATGCGAATCACTCTTATTTTGATATATGATTCATCATAGAGAAGCCTGAGGCTTTCAATCATTCTTATAAGCCAAAAATATATTTGGACTATGTAATTTTAAAATCACCTATACTAAATGCTAACTGAAATTAAATGGATATTACAATAAAACTAATCAACATGCATATGCAAGTTAATTATGTATTTCAATAAAACTTTAGTTCAGTATTTTAAAACTTAGAGCCTTTTAGAATTTCAAGTGAATCCTTCATAGATCAGTAAATAATTGTGTTAATATAAATAATTAAATAAGACAAAGGTTATTCTAAAGCAAGTGGATGAATAATAAATACTAATATCAATATATCTCTTGCATATTACAAGCACAAACAATTAACCATCTTAACTAATCTAAGTCATTTAAATAGTAAAATCAAATTTTTATATAAGATTAAATGATGGTAGAAGTGAGAGCATACAAATTGAGTACAAGTATATGACAAATAGAATTACAGCTTGTAAAGAATTTCTAAGCGATATTATCAATATAAAAATGCAAAACATCAAACCAAATGAGTAACGAAGAAGCTAAATGATTCTAATAAAAAAATAAAAATAAAAATAAAAAAGAAGCTAAATGATTCTATTTATAAGGAAATGGATGAAATGAAATGTATGTGGGTCAACATCTAATAATCAATATATACGCCTAAATAACCTCTCTCCTCTCATAGACTAATTATTCTATGCGGATACCGGACGAAAAAATTGTACGGATTTGATGCACTTTTACTGTCCTTTTATTGCGTTTTTGTAAAATGACAGAAAAAAAACAGCAAATATTTAATAAATAATTGAATATTTGTTGTGCTTTTGCAAAAGAGCAGTAAAATTACAATAAAAATACATTCATAATTAAATATTTACTGTCCTTTTACAAAAGCGCAACAAAAGGACAGCAAAAAAGCATCAAATCTGAATGTAGATGACGGTTCTCTCCATTCGGTGTCCGCACAAAATAATTTCTCCCTCTTCATAAGCCAATGAAAAAAACTTACAGAAACTATAAAGCTGATCACATAAGAATTTGAGTAGAAATAATTTCAATGGGATAAATGTTTGACAAAGATTACAAGTTGATACAACGATAAAAAAATTCACATAAAAAGAAGAAAAAAGAACATGCCAAAACTTTGCCTTGGGGGTAAGAGAAAGGAAGGAGGGAAGCTTGGTTACAAATTCTAATCTGCTTCACGGTGTAAAATATTTTGGATGTTAATTGAACCATAAGGAAGGCTCTAAATCCTGTTCTAGATTCTGGAGTATACACAAGAGGCTGGAGATTGCTCGCTTCAGAAATTCAATTTCAAATCTGAAAGATCATCCATTGGAATTTCCAAGCCCACTAAATCATGGTCTTGCAGTGCATCTTCATCAACATTCAACCAAGAACCAATATCTTGGCCTTGTACATCTAATTCATCAATGTTCATTCCATTTAGCGGCAAGTTGGTAAAAATGGAATCTTCTAAATCTTTAGGTAAATCTGAAGTAACAACATTGGAAGGCTTGGATTCATTTCTGTTCATATTAAAGCCTCCATTATTAGAAGAAGAAAGCCGCCCTGACGTCGATAAGCCTGGTTCAGAAGGCCTGCCAAGACCATTTCCGGAGGTTGATAATTGAGCAATCTTTTGCTTTGGTTTTGTCTTTGTTTTGCGTTCACCTCTGCTGCCACTTAATGAGGGACGCCCAGCTTTAGCACCTGGGTTTTTTACTAGTGTATCCCTACTATGATCCTTATCTTTATCACTCTTCTTCCATTTTGATCCAACAGGAATCGTGTTATAAGGACTTGAAGCAGCTCTTGAAGCGGCACTTGTAACGACATCATCAAGTAAAACCTCTTTCTTCTTCCCTCTATTAGAAAACGGGTCATTTTTACCAAATGGTTGATCTGGTATGTTAGAGGGGCCTTGAAATGGAACGAATTGACCCCTGTCAGACTTGTGTCCATGTCTCTCAGCGTTATTTGATGTTAAACCTGAATAGAGAACATAAGAAGCAGTAATTGAGGAGAGATTTTGACATGTAATCCGTATACTAACCAGAGAAAGATTAGTCCCAAATATTTTATACAACAACAATAACATCAAGCCTTTATCCCACTATGTGGGATCGGCTACATGAATCCTTTTTCTTCATTGTGTCCTATTAAACGTCAAATTCTCGTTTAAATCTAATAAAGAAATGTCATTTATAATATTTTCTAACCAAGTCTTTTTAGGTTTGTCTCTAACTTTCTTAACATAAGTCAAATCTAATACCTCTACTAACCGGGCCATCGGAAGGGCATCGTTTTATGTGACGAAAACATCTAAGGCGACTCTCTAATCTTATCTTTTACTGGAGCTTCTCCAACCTTTTCACGTATATGCTCATTTCGTATCCTATCTCTAAGGGTAAAACCACTCTTCCACCTGAGCATCCTCATCTCTGCCACACTTAACTTAGTATTATGCTTCTCTTTTAATGGCCAACATTCGGTACCATAAAGCATTGCAGTCCTAAGTATTTTATATTAAACAAAAAAAAAAAGAGATTATAAAATCAAGACTATATTATGATCTTATTTGGAAGTCTTAAGTTAAAGGTAATCATAGGATTACAACAAGCTTATTAGAAACAATTTTACAATAAAAATTTTAATAAACAAGCTCATACCATCCAAATATCTTGTCTCTATGCCGTGCTGCAACACTGAGAACAGCATATCTCGCATTGGAGGTTCACTGAAGCAGCTCTGACCAGTTTCCTCAAACTTCTGACATCTGATTAAAGTCCGTTTTGCAAAGTCCATGGCAAGCTGCTTTGAAATCTTGCTGACACCACTTTTATGGCTTGAGCCATGGCTTCCTCGACCACCCTAACACATAGGTTAACTCAAAGAATTAAATGCCCATAATAGATTAGTTTTTCAATAGAAAGCCAAACATTCTGAAAACGAAGTGCATTATGCAGATATTAAAAAGAATCCTTTCCAGTAGCATAATTTAAAGGGAAATCAGCTCCCAACTAGTTCATGGAATTATGCAGTGTAAAGAGAGAAAACACTTGGACCATGTCATAAAATTGCACAAAAAAATTTGCAGAAAATTGGAGACCTCAAGAAATTTCCAGAAAGCGCCATTTCAGTACAGATGCATTTTGGACAAACACTTGGACCTGACAATACACTGAAGCACTGCATTTGGCATGTCAACGCACAACGCTCATCCAAAACAAAGATTAAAATTAGACATGTTCAGGATATTCTTAATGCCACTAAAAACACAAATAACCCACATTTACTGTGTTGAATTGTAAACTATATATTGCTAAAAAAATTTCATTCCTGCAATTATATAAGTTTTTTTTGCTGAGTAAGGTACTATCTTCTATAAAAAAGGTAATCTCATGCAATTTTTCAAAGATTTATCATTTTTCATACCCATATATTTTATCCCAGCCCCTTTTACAAGTCCCCGATAAGCAGCAAACATCATAAGAATCAGATAATGTACTACACTTGAGTGACATATCCATTAAACATAAAAATTACATAATCTGATAAAACATAAGTAACCTCTTTAGAAAGAAGAAAGGGGATGATTACCGTCAGTTTTTTATAAGCCATTTCAACAAGTTTATGCATAGCAAGCTGCTCAATCTTCCTGTAAACAGAAGTACAGAGAATTTCATTCCAATATTTTATAGCTGAAGAACAGAATTTAGAAGACAGATACATATATGTATACCTCTCTTGAACTTCCTTCACTCCATGAAGAGCCTTTTCTAAATTATACAGCTGGCTTTTTATCTTCCTCACCTACAAGAGAAATGAATGCCAGCACATCAAATTTAGCACTTGAGAATACCAACAATAAAATACATGAGATTTAGACCACTGCCACCAACAAGAACATATACAAGATTTCTTCATCAAGTGGTTATCAGCAAACATGACACCTAGAAAGCCAGCCCCAAAAAGTTTGTGATAATGATGATGATGATGATGGTGTGGGGACAGCGGATAACAAAAGAGGGTTTACTTTATATATGTATAAAATTCATTTAACATTGTATAATAGAAAAAGTAAGATGCCTTTTGATTCAATCATGTTGTAATAGCCAAATGAACCTTTATTAATTACAAAAATTGAGTACAAATAACAACATATTGAAGAGAAATACATTAGCAAGCACAAGAGATTCAGATAGTATTTTGAACTACAATAAAAAGTGAATGACAAGTAAAAATGCAAGCATTTCATAAATATAATAAATTACACAAAGCAACAGAATTAAAATATGTAGCACCTGTTGAAAGAACCTCATTTTGAGATCAGATATAACTTTATCAATTTCTTCATCTTCACCCTCAGCTAGACCAGGCTGTAAAAACCAAGAAATACATAACTTAAAATAACAAATACTAAAAAGCTAGAACCAGGAAAATGCTTACAAGTGCACAAAGTAAATGACAAGTTTTATACAACCAAAATATATTAAATTCAACGCCAAACCACTTCAAAGAAGCGTGCATACCGTGGAGAACAATGTGTAATATAATGCTTAAAATATGGATCTACCTTCTCATCAAATGTGCACATGAAAATGCAAGCATATAATGGCTCTAGCCATTTAAATTTGTCATAAACTTGCTGATATTATCCAAAATGGAAGAAAGTAAACATAGATAGACACTGGGAATACGTAGCTTATCAACATTATAAAAGATACAAAAGATGCAAAACAAAAAATAGCAAAAGCAATATCATAGACCGGTCTAAGATGGCAAGGGTTAGGGTTATGTGATGTTTTGCTATTTTTGAATTTTCTCTTAGGTGTTTTGGGCTCTATCCGCCGGCTAGAGATTGGGAGAACCGGATCTTCCTCTCGAATTGAAGATCCATTGTATCTTGCTTGTTTTCTTCTATTTTTCATCTATTATGAAATTTTCCTAATGTTTTGCCAAGGGATTTATCTCAAAATCTGCTTGAATCTTGCTAAATTCTAAATTTCATTCAAGGCTTCTCGATTCCTGCACTTGTTTCCTATCAAATTAATATCATAGCACTTTCTCGGACGGAAAAATAAGTTTTTGTCGTTGCTTCTGTAATTGGAACCTAGATCCAATTAATGGCAGCAAAGAAGATGTCTGCATAGGAAGGCGAGATGAAATAACTCAAGGCCGAAGTATAAGAAAAATATTTTGGGGTGGAGGAAAGACTCTTGGCCATCGAGAACCGCTTCGAGAACTTTGAAGAGATGATGACAAAGAGGCTTGAGATGCAATCAAAAGCATCACCGGCGATGCCTAGGGTAGAATCACGAGGAAAGGAGATCCAGGAGGATGGCAATGAATTAAAAAGTGTTTTCCATCGAGGACCGTCACATGGAGCCCCGTTGGTGGGTGGATCGGGTTATTTCGATGAGAGGAGAGCAAGGAGGAAGGATGCCGACCCTTTTGGGAGATTATCTGGGCATGGGGAGAGGTTGAATGGAGAAGGGCATGGTTGGGGAAGATACCAATTGAGTATGGATGCGAGGGCAAGGAAGCTAAAGATGCCGGTCATTGAAGGGGAGGGTGCTCATGGTTCAGAGTAGCGGATGGAATGTTACTTTGCCATCTATGGGCTGACAAAAGGGGAAAAATTCATGGTAGCAAGTCTATGTTTGGAAGGAAAAGCTCGAGCATAGTTTCAAACTTTCAATGGAGGAAGGCTAGGTATCCGATGTACTCATGGGGAGAATTTAAGGAGTACTTGTTGGAACATTTTCTAACTATCCAAGAAGAAAACCTCCACGAGCAGTTTTATGCCCTAACTCAAGAAGGGACTATTATGAAATTTTGGGAGAAGTTTGAGTGTTGTCAAGGAGATTGAGGTGAATCTCTAAGGATGGACTGGAGGGGAATTCCATGAAGGGGCTTAGGGAGGACATCTGGGCAAAGTTAGGGTATTGAGGCCTAGGGTGCTCAGAGAGACAATGGAGCTTTCTCAGAGGGTGGAGGAAAAATATAGGAGGGAAAAGGCCAAAAGAAGCAACATTATGGGAGGGGCCTACCGAAGTACCTCTACTACTTTAGCACCTAGATCCCAGACAATATCCTCCTAAAGAGAAGCTCCTAGGGAGAAGAGCGGTGGAATTCGCACGGGGGGCAACTTCAAGCGACTCACAGAGGTCGAGGAGTAGGATAAGCGGGCAAAAGGGTTATGTTTCAAATGCGATGAGAAGTACACACTGGGGCATAGGTGTAAGGACCGAACTCTTCAGGTTCTCACCATCTATGATGATGAGGAAGCTAAGGAGGGAGGTGGGAGGGAGGTATCGACAGAGGAGGACAAGCAATATTTGAGTATGGTTGAGGTCTCCTTGAACTCAGTAGTAAGATTCACCTCGAATCACACTATGAAATTGAAAGGATAAATAATTGACAAGGAAGTAGTAGTGCTGGTAGATAGTAGGGCCACCCACAATTTCATCTCCAACCAGGTCGTAGATCAATGGGATTAAAACTAGTAGACACGGGATGCTATGGGGTCATGATGGGGATGGGGAAGATGGAGATAGGTAGAGGGTTGTATAGGGGAGTAGTCTTGACCATACTAGGGATCCAGGTGAGGGAGGATTTTCTTCCCTTGGAGCTGGGGAGCATTGATGTCATCCTGGAAATGATCTGGCTGCAAACATTGGGTAATTATAAGGTGAATTAGGGGATGCTGACAATGGAGCTGATGGTGGAAGAGAGAAGGATGTTGATTAAAAGAGATGCAGGACTCTCTAAAGCCATGGTGTCGCTAAAAAGCATAGCAAGAACCATACAGGAGGTGGGAGGAGGATTTCTAGTGGAGCTACATAGCTTGGAGGGGATCATAGGAGAGGAAGGAGGGGACATCCCTCTTTTCGTGCAGCTAGTTCTACAACAATTCGGGGATATTTTCTAGCCACCTCAGGGATTGCCACCATAGAGGGGACAGAAGCATGCCATCATATTGAGGGAGGGGGTCTCACCGATTAATGTTAGACCTTACCGCTACCCACAGATCCAGAATGATGAGATTGAGAAGTTGATCCGAAAGATGTTGGATGCAAGATCATCAAGTTGAGTGTTAGCACTTTCTCTAGTCCAGCTCTACTAGTTAAAAAGAAATGATGGAAATAGGAGATTTTGCGTGGACTACTGGGCTCTGAATATGGAGACAATGCCAAACAAGTTTCCTATTCCAATGATAGATGAGTTGCTAGATGAGCTTTGTGGAGCGGCAGTATTCATGAAGGTAGACCTGAAGTCCGAATACCACTAGATCCGAATGAGAGAGGAGGACATTTCGAAGATAGCATACAAGACACACTAGAGACACTATGAACTCTTGGTGATGCCATTTGGTCTCACCAATGCCCTTGGTACTTTTCAGTCCCTTAAAAATAAGGTGCTCCGACCTTGCCTCAGGATGTTTGTTCTAATTTTTTTTATGACATCTTGGTGTATAGCAAGTTCGGTGAGGAGCAGTTGGAGCATCTTAGAGGTGTTGTGAAAGCACCAGTTGAGGGCTAATATGAAGAAATGCTATTTTTCTCAGGCAAGTGTGTAGTATTTGGGGCACGTGGTATCCCAGGAATGAGTGGCCGCTAACCAAGCCAAAATTGAGGCAATGCTGAAATGACCTCTGCATAAAAACATGATGGAGCTAAGGGGCTTCCTAGGATTGACAAGGTACTACATGAGTTTTGTGAAGGGATACATCACCATTGTTTGACCTCTGACAAAGCAGCTAAATAAGGACAGTTTCTTGTGGGGAGAGGCAGCCATTCAAGCCTTTGAGAGATTGAAGATCTCCATGACCACGGTTCTGATTCCTAGCACTACTTAATTTCAGCCAAATGTTTGTGGTGGAAACTGATGGCTCTGGATATGGGTTGGAGGTAGTGCTCATGCAAAATCACAGACCCATAGCCTACTTCAACCCAATGTTTAAAATTGCGTATTCGGATATTGAGGCGTTTTTCATTCGTGAGGCGAGGCGTAAGCCTCAAGGCGTTTTGAGGCGTAAGCCTCAAAATCAAAAGATTGCGTAAACATAAAATGATAAATTTTTTATATACTAATGAGTGAATATATAAAACATAAAAAAACATAAGATATTAAGTGAAATCAAAATATCCCAATAATAAGACAACATGAAATATAGTTCAACTCAAAATTCTATCTTTCCCAAATCTCAGTATTCTTTTCATTAACATATAATTCTAATTTCTAAAAATAAATAGCAATGACATATCACATAAGAACTCATAAGTCATCAACGCTGTCATCACTAAGGGGTTCTTCATTTGAATCATCATTATGATGAACTGCTCTCTCCCCTTCCTCCTCTCCTATAGAATCCAATGTCGGGCATTTACTTCAAGATTTATGTAAGTTTTAATATATCTAGTGTGAGGCGTAAGCCTCATGCCAGTGAGGCGAGGCGGGCCTTAAGCCGGGCCTCAACCAAGTTGAGGCGCAAGCCTTATAACAAAAACTCGAGGCGTAAGCATCGAGGCATTTTTTACTGGAATTGCGCAAAGGCGGGCCTCAAGGCGAGCCTCATATTGCGCAATTTTAAACCATGCTTCAACCATGTGTTGACAGCCAGAGCTAGAATAAAGATAGTCTATGAGAGGGAATTGATGGCCATTGTATTAGCTATTCAAAAGTGGGAGCCATACTTGTTGGGCCGCATTTCATCGTCAGGACTGACCAGTGGAGTTTGAAGTACTTACTAAAGCAAAGGACGGTGGCCAAGGAGCATCAGAGAGGGCTGTCAAAGTTGTTATGCTATGATTTTGAGATCTAATATAGGCCAGGACTGGAGAATAAAGCGGCTGATGCCTTATCGAGATGTATGGAGGAGCTCCAAGATATAGTTATTTCGATACCGCTGATGTTGGGTTGGAGGGCTATTAAGAAAGAAAGTGTGCAAAACAAGGTGTTAAAAAAGATCAGAGAGAATCTGCTGAAAGAATAAGAGTAGCTATCCTGGCTATTCAGTAGATGGGGAGAGATTTCTATACCAAAGGAGGTTTTTGTTGCCACAAACCTCAATTCATATTTCGCACTTATTACAGGAGTTTCACGGGAGCGTAGTTGGGGGTCACTCTAGTGTACAAAAGACATATAGGAAACTAGCTGCTGAATTATATTAGAAGGGGATGCACAAGGATACAAGGGAGATGGTGACCAATTGTGAGGTTTTTCATAGGAATAAATATATGACTATGGCTCCTAGGGGGCTAAAATAGCCTTTGGCGCTTTCAGATAGAGAGGGGGAAGAGGCCTTTATGAATTTCATAGACGGACTACCCCAATCGAAGAGGTTTATAATTATCCTGCGGGTGGTTGACAAACTAAGCAAATATGCTCATTTCATTACTCTATGACATCCGTATATGACAGTAATAGTGGCATCGACTTTCATTAGAGACGTGGTCAAATTACACTGGATATTAGAGTCTCTAGTGTCCGATCGAGACAATGTGTTCATCGGTCACTTTTGGAGAGAGTTGTTCAGGTTGCAGGGGACCGTGCTAAAAAAGAGCACCTCTTACCACCCTCAAACTGATGGGCAGACGTAGGTGGTCAACAAGAACTTGGAGACATATCTATCATGCTTCTCTACAAAGACACCTCAGCTGTGGGCTAAGTGGCTAACATGGGCAGAATACTAGTGCAACACTTCATACCATTCGACGCCCTAAATGACTCCTTTCAAAGTGTTGTATGGCAAGGGATCCATCTCACTTGGTGCACTTTGGGCAGAGTAGCATATCAGTCTTTTCAGTGGAGCGGTACTTGGAAGAGAGGGATAGGATACTAGAGGAATTGAAAAAAATATCTTTTGAGAGCCCAGCATATTATGAAAAGGCAGGCTGATGGGCATAAAAAAAGACATTCAGTTTGAGGCAAGGGTAGGGTGTATTTGAAGCTTCGTCCCTACAAGTAGTGGATAGTGGTGAGTAAGAGGAATGAGAAGCTGGCTCCACGGTACTTTGAACCTTTTGAGATAAAGAAGAGGATCAGAGCAGTGGTGTATCGATTGAAGCTACCTCCAACCGCGACCATACATCAGATATTTCACGTGTCATAGCTAAGGAGAGCTATAGGAGATCACACCGCCATTGTAGAGTTACCAGAGACGTTGAAAGAGAACTTGGAGGTGGCCTTGGAACCCCTGGAGTTGGTAGGAGTACGACAGTACGACAGGGGGAGGCAGGAAGTAAAGAAGTGCTGATTAAGGGGAAAAACCAGCCTAAGTACGAGGCTACCTGGGAGTCGTGTAAGCAAATGAAACATCAATTTTTGTCCTTCCACCTTAAGGACAACATGATTCTTTGACGGGGGGTATTGATAGACCAGTCAAAGATAGACTGGTCAAGCCGGCCCAAAACCAGGGTCGGCTCATGGTTTATTCTAGGAGGACTACAAGAGCCATCGGCATCCTTGTAGGGCCCATGCCTTGATGGTAATTTTAAATTGGAGGGGGCAGTTTAGGAGGGAAATTAGTCTGAAAAGGGTTGTTTAGTAATTATGCTTTTATTTATATTCTTTAAATAAGAGGACAAGGTTTAGGGTTAAGGTTATGTGATGTTTTGCAATTTTTGAGTTTTCTCTTAGGTGTTTTGGGCGGGCTCTAGCTGCCGGCTAGAGATTGGGAGAGTCGGATCTTCCTCTCGAATTGAAGATCTATTATATTTTGATTGTTTTCTTCTACTTTTCATCTATTATCAAGTTTCCCTAGTATTTTCCCAAGAGATTTATCTCAAAATCTGCTTAAATCTTGCTGAAATTCTAAATTTCAGCCAAGGCTTTCTCAATTCCTGCACTTGTTTCCTATCACAATAGTACAATAGAAAAAAAAAATACAAGGGAAAGGGAAGAAAGCTAAAATTAAAAGCATTGGCGTCATTTCAACTGAAAGTGATTCTTGAAATAAAAGTCTATCACAAATGAAAGAACAATTTAAAACTCACCGTAATTTCAGTTCATACTACATGGATATCAGCATGCCTTTGCAATGAATATCATATACAATTCATACGATGCAACACTCCTATATATTCTTTAATAAAAAGGGCCTCCGAACAGTCAACGAATGATAAAGAAATAGGGATATATCAATTATCATAAGACCGATTAAAGGTGACGCAACAAAACTGAAATAATGCAGAAGGACCCAAAAAGTAAAGCATCTGCAGACCACATACCACTAAATCTGGATATATGCCAATACTGTGCAGCTCCATCAAGATTCTATCATTCAAAGGCATATGTTCGAACAGGCCATACTCAGAAAGAGCCCCAACATCTAAATGTTCTGAAACACCATTCTCCTGAAACAGAGGACCGCCGGATATTGAGGTTTGGATAACCGATGTTCCGCGGTTGCTGTGGGCTGCAAAGCCATTGCAAGATTTAACATCTGCTGCACAATTCTTCTGATTTTTGTAATCTAAATCCAACTCAAAGTCAGATTTGACGGCACCTAACTCCAACTCATTTTCAAGATAGCAATTTGCACCATATGTCGAACAATCACTTGCAAGTTGTAAGAGCAACCCTTCTTGTTCAATACAGCAGTTAGAACCATCAGTTCCATCTTCCATAATTAAAGCAGACAGAAGTCTTTGAGAAAGCGGAATAATCCTATCAAACCAATTTTCTGTTTCTGTCTTTCTAGACGCCTCTTTAGGTTGCATTTGATCATCCACTGAGCAAAAAGTCTCAGTAAAGCTATTCGTCCCAAGAATGTTTGCTTCGGTTGAATGAATTGATGAAGCTGCTCCACAAAATACGTTTCCCTAAACATATAGAAACAATGTTACTTCAAAGAAGAAGCATAGAAAAAAAGAAGCAAAAATCAAAGAAGTTCCATTAAACTTGTAATACCAAAGAAGATGATTTTTAAGGGTTCTCCCAAACAAGATTATTATAAAAGAAAATGCATTTTTTTCTACCTTTACATTGTGCTCAGTATCTAGCATACTGGATAAACTTCCATCCAGTTCTTCTGCAAATTTAATCTACACGGTTTCAAACAAGCAAAAGTTACTAACCGTCAACATTTCCATACTACCGAAACAAAGTATACAAAAATACTTACCTGATGTTTCACAAATGTTAAATCCTCTGAGCTAATATAAGAAAATACTGTTTCCATTGACTTCCAAAATGAACTAGAACAACTGTTATCTGCAGATTAGGATGAATTCAATAGTGTAAAATATTTTTAAGTTGAACACTATGATGTAAAACACCAGAGGATACACACAGCTAGAGTTCCGAGTAGCATTTACAGCTGTTAACAATTCTTCACGGTCATCATCTGGTTCACCTATAGAAACATTATTCAAGCAAACAGAAGATTCATGTTTTAATGATTAGCAGAGAATGCTAATATACAATGATTGGAAGGAAAATAGGGAATAAAGGCAGTATCACCTATCAAATCTGATGGACCACAGTGTATACTTGGCATAGGACGACCATAAGCCTTTCTATCAGAAACCTTCTTCGATGGAGGACGGCCAACCCTACTGCAGGAAAATTCAGCATGTTTAAACAGCAAAAAATAAAAACTGTGATCAAGGAATTCGGTTTAAAAATGCAAAATGTTCAGAACCTTTCACTCCTATCAGGAGCAGGCCTGCCATTTTTGAGTGGCTTAATGGCGTCTGCATTCTCTTGCTTTTCTTTTGTTAATGACAAGGATGCCTTTGACAGAGTTGACCCTCTACCACTTCTGCCCTGCCTCCGTACACCATCTCCAATTTCTTCTTTTGTACGAATCTTGTTCTTTTTCATAGGTAAACTGAAATCCGACACTTTAAGAGGCACATTTGGATGCCCATCCTCTACCTCACAATTATCTCCTCCTTTCTCTCTTTTATTCTCAATAACACCTGATTCCTCACTTTCTGATAATCCAGCAGGAGAAGGAACATTTTCGAGCCTAATTTTCAACTGATGACTGCCATTAGCAGCCACCCTTGAATTTAAGGAGCTGCCAGAATCCACAGATGATAGCCTAGCTCCAACATCAGGAGCAACAAAACCTTCAGAAAAAGCTTGAACATCATCAAAATTTGACACAGGAGAAACCACATTTGCCCTTCTTGTGCGGGATATCTTTTGGGGCCGTTGACCCACCCATTGAGTAACAGGTGGTGATGATGATCCTGTAGGCAATGGGCGTTTCCGATTGACAGGGCTGCTCAAAGGTTGCACTTTGTTCAAACACGCGGAATGCTCCCATCCTTCAATACCTCCAGATAAACGGGGATAATTCGGTGCACCGACTGAAGTGCCAGAACCAGTTCGTGGTGCCCTAGAGGCTTTGCCTTTTGCTAGAGGACTTTGACTTTCTGGTTGAGCATCCTCACGGTTATTTAACCTGAAATTCAAGTAAAGCATTCATGCTGAGAAATAAAATAGATAAGGCATAATAAAGAAATCCAATCTACACAAATCAATGCAAGCTGAGACCTTTCACATTTTTTCTGCCATTTGGTTTTATGGGGCTACTGTACTTTTTAAATTTCTAACATTTAACAATCAGATTTGAAGGGTGAACGAATTCTATTAACTAGCATTAGCACCTAATCCTTCTTACACGAAGAAACAAACCTCAGCTAGCCAGACTACAAGATATACTACTTTTATTTCATGCCAACTTAAAAAGATAAAACTTTGATTGACTTTAAAGAAGACATAAAATCCACCATAATTTGTTCTAAACAGATGACTACTTATTACTTAAAGTCTAATAAACAAAAATATGCGAAGAGTCAACACTTTGGCAAATTATGTTAACATAAACCGGTAAATAGAATGGGAAGTATGCTCACAATACATAACTATTTACAAACTGAAAAATGAAAAATGAGATTCATGCTTAGGAGAACTAAGAAAAAGATGCACAGAGCATCTCGTTGTCTTCTAGAAAGGCGGTGCATGCTAAAATGTATCCCACCAACTAAAAATCTTACAAGTACAACATCATTAACCTAGATAATTTAGCTTTCACAAGACAATACAGTAGGGGATAGAAATGCTGAAAGCACATATGAAAAATAATGAAACAAATAAATTAAACAATGCTTACTTGTTGCTTCCCTTAGCCATGATCCTCTCCTTGTCAAGTCCAATAATGCGATCCCTTCGATCAGTTGGAAGAGATCCATTCTCCAGTTCAGTCCTGGTCATTCCGCGAGAGCTATTACCAGATAGCTGAGAATTGTTGTCAATCTTGCTACTTCCAACAACTCCGTTAGCCGATCCACTCCTGCATGATTGGTTAAATAATGTAATCAGAACTATCTCAAACTATATTGACTAGCGCTTTAATGTAGTTCAAAGTTAGATCTGCCATTCAAACAAGAGATTGCCAACACTGCACTCTCTGACACCATGTCAAAGACACTTTAAGGTGTGACAAATTTCTTCACTAAAATAATTTAACATTTATTCAACGCCACTTCAACATAGACAAACTTGTTGGAATGAATTAGAATTTCAACCTAATAAATGTGCTACTACATTTAAGGTTTGATTGATCTGCAAACAAATTCTTCACAGTATTAAACAAGCTCATAATTCCCAATATCAGATAGCAGATTAAAGCACAAGATTCTCCATGAGCCATAGCGCATAGCTCAGCATGCGTTATTTAAAAAATAATGCAAATAAAAGAAAACATAAATAATTATTAATAATCTGACAAATTAAGAGAAATAAATATCCTAGACAAAAAAAAACAAACATACACGGTCAATGCGCTATAATAGGACATAAAATTGTTTTAACATATATGCAATTTAACAATAGACAATCAGATAGAAATATCAACCATCATGACAAACAGAGAAATTAAATTTGCAAACTATGATGGTTGTAGCAATGCATGATATTTGGACAAAATACTAAAATTTGGTGCATGAGTCCAAAAAATAGAAGCATGTTGTTTATAAATCCTACCTCCATCATTTTCATCTCCTAAATCATAATCTTCTTATCAGCATCATAATTATTATGTCATCCACAAATATGCCTGCCTAGATGAAGAATTAATTTATTTTCCTCTAGATCGGTCTTGAATGCTATAGATACTTCAATACACAACACTAGCTTCTGCAAAGAACTCTAGTCAAAACAATTAAACAGAAGCAAGTACCAAACTGAAAAAATAGCACACTATGTAGGATACATAAATAGACATATCATGCTATTTTCTCCCCACACGTCTTGCTATACCAAAAGCATAGGAGATGCAACTCACTAAGCTATGAGCTATGGTATGCACTATTGATAACTATGCCCCTATAGTTTTGAGAAGAAATTGAACAAAAAAATGAGTCGAGTAAAAGCACTTTTATAGTAAATCAGATACATAAAAAATAAAATTATAGGAACAAAGTTTACTTTAACCACACTTTGCAACAAAATAAATAGTAATTTTATTATTATTATTATTATTTCTTGAGGTCAATGTTCCTTAGCCGAATAAATTCAAAACAAAAGTTCCTGTTCCTCCACAAAGGACAGCATCTTTATATATATATATATATATCCACATTCCTGCTCAAATTAGTTTACTCTTTTAATACATTGTGAGATTTTTTCTAATATACTCGATTCAGTTTACTCTGTTGATCCGTTGTGAGCATTTTCCTAATATGCTCAATCAAATATTAAGTTTTGAATCATAATAAATAAAGCGATCGGTGTTCACTGTAACCAAATAACACAATGAAATATTAAAAAAAATGAGACTGGAGTAATGCTTTTCATAAGAGAATCATGCGCTATGTTTGTTGGCCATGCAAGCAAAAACTAAATTTCAAACCCAGTCAACTAGTCAGAAGAAACTATTTGCTTTGTCAAATAAAATTACATATCGAGAATATCTTAATATGAAATGCAACAAATGTGATGACAAAGCATTGAAATTACCTAAATCCATTGCCATCAGGGGGGCGAGAACGGGGCTCGGTATTAGGCCTTGATTGAATTGTATGTTTAAACTCTCTCTCCCCATCTGGAATCCTAGTGCCCATTGTACCGACAGAACGCTTTCGTTTGAGTTTCTTCTCCCATCCATCCCCTCCAGTAGGTAGTCCACGTATCCTGTCTTCACTGGACATTGGTCCCCCATTGCACACCCTAAGCATAGATTTTTCCTTTTCAAAAAGCATGTTTTTATCCTTATCCATGGCTGCACCCTGTCTTGCCGGAATAGAACTCCGACCATCAGACTGAAACAATTAACATAGAAAATTTTAAAACAATGATGATGCCTAAATCTCATTTCATCGCTCAGATGACAAACGAACAAAAAAAAAAGCTCAGAGAAAGAATCTTGAAAAGAAAATGAACAATCTGTGCTTTTAGTTTTAAGAAATACCACCATAACTTAGAGCTCAGTCAACATAAAGCTCAAGAAAAATTATAAAGTGAATAAAGATATCAAAATCGCTGGTAGTACACGAGCAACTTTGAATACTAGAGACATCCCAGAGAAGTCCAAAGGCCTCAAACTTTAGAGCAAGCAAAACATGAAGCCTAATATTTAAAAAAAAATACAAACCCGTACTTCCGCCATAGAAGAGCGAACACGTCTATTTGGAATGGCAAGCTTTGTCCTTTCCTCCTGCCTCACATTGGCAATATCTGAATTGCTCTGATGAATTTGGCTTCCCATCTTCAACAAATTTGAACTACCAGGCTTTTCACTTGTTTGAGCCTCATTGCGAGACCGTCTTTTTGTAACAATGTTACGATATTTATCCAATTTCAAAATGGATTCTTGCAACAACTTTGCTCTGTCCCTGATGACCACAACGATAAACTAGATTTACACATGGAGAAACTGTTTTTTGTAATGAAGAATGATTTTCTACCAAGAAAAAGAGTTTTTTTTTTTCCACAAGCACATAACGACACAGGCAATCTAACAAGGATATCGGATTGAAATTTTGCAATGACTTGGAAAAAATTGAATGATTTCATATAAATGATTTCTAACAGGATAAAAAGAATCTAGTAGAGAATTACCTGGCTCTATTGGACGTCTCTAGCACACTAGCTTTGAAACGCTTCAAGTCCTCCGATGCTATCTGTGGAAGGGTCTTAGACTGCAAGGAACCAAACGAATGTTCCTCAACTGAGACACCAAGGGCCCTTCTTAGCTCCCCTTGGCGGCTGTACTTGAGATTTAGCTCGCTTGTTGAGAAAGGCTCCAGTGGCAAATATTGTGATAATGAAGGGATGTCCAATGATGCAGACGCATTCCTGGATGTACCTGAAGCTGACGCCATCAAGCGATTCTCAAGGCTCTCTCGAAAGCTACCTGACCGCTCCAAACTAGGACTGCTGTAAGAGCCCCTCGGCCCACTTGGATAACCAGAAGCAAAGGCCGGTCCATCCAGACTGCTGGAAGCCAATTCGGCTCTTGTGCTGCCCACCATTTCACACTCCAGCAATCATAACAAATGATGTCCAAATCGAATATCCGTACTCACACTTTCCCAATGAAAGTAATCAAGCGGAGATGGAATATATACAATTGACCGAAATCCTACAACACAACAAATTGAAACTAATGATATACCTAAAACACGCTGACAAGCCCAGTAGACAGACAATAATGGCGGCAATTCAATAAACTGATATTGAATTACACCGTTAAATGATGACAAAACTTGCAGCCAAAAGAGATAGTACAGGCTTCAAAATGGATAGCAGCGGGTAAAAGACGGGGCAAGAGTAAGCTCGGGAGAAAGACAGAGGAATTAAAGACGGTAAAAACCCAAAAGCAGCTCAGTTAACCAAATTGTAAATTTGGCACCAAACGAGCTGTACACCCGATGGCAAATGGGCCAAAAGATCTTGAACTCCCGAGTCAACCCAAGAAGAGAAACAAGATGCAACAATCAGAACACTGAAAACAACAAGAAGATATAGACTAACCAGACAATGCCACAGCCCAAATAAAACGAGTTCCAAGCCCTCACGCCGACCCCGCGACCATAACACACGGTTGCGGAACGCAAAGAATATGCAAAAACGAACTTTTTGAAGAGAAGAAGAGATTGAAGATGGAGATTTAAGGAAGAAAGGGAACCCTAATTAAGGACAGAGCCTAAGAACGGAGCGCGAAAACCTAGCTCGCCCGCACACCTGGGCTATTCCTTAGATTTGCACCATCAACCAGCATTCTCCGGAGAACGGGCTCGGATCAGATCCGAATTCGCCGGCTGAACAGCTAATTTCATGGAAGCGTACGCGTTTGCGAAAGAACAAATGGACTCTCCGAGCCTTCATCGGAGCAGCCCGAATATTAGTGGTGCCTTAAACTCCTAACAGGCTAATAATAACGATAATACTAATAATAGTAATATCATTACTGTTATAACAAAAAATTACGTGCACTATTTATTTAAAAAAATTATAACAAAAAATGAGTTAGAATAATAAATTTAATATTTAAAGTTCTAAAGAAGATAATTTAAATTTATATAAAAGTTATAATTGCAATTAGCAACTTAAACTTTAGAGCAAATGATCATATTGATTGAATATTCAGCTCTTTAGATTTTGATGAGTTACAAGGCATTAGCTTTGTTGCGTCCTAGAGTATTCTCAACGTTAGAAAAACATAAAATTTAACGTCTTAGAATTATAAGAATATTCAACACACAATCAGATAAGAGAGAGTGTCTAACATTCACTAGAGACATAAAAAATTTTACGTGAAAAACTCCTAAAAAGGAGAAAAACCCACGAGGTCTAGCCCAGATTGAATGAATCCACTATTATTTGCAGTCGATTACAAATGAGGCCCTTCTTTGGGGGAAGGCCTGAATTTGATGTACATCTTATAGAGTATGTTACATGATGAGAATACAAAGAGTCACTGCTGATGTGTTTGTTTGGTCTGAAGGATAGTAGTCGACGGGCGACGTAAGTCGGAAGGATCGTAGTCGGCGGGCGACGGAAGTCGAAAGGACTGTAGTCAGTGGAGGATGTAGGTCAGAAGAACCGTAGTCGGCGGGCGACGAAGGTCGGAAGGACTATAGTCGGTGGGCGACGTAAGTTAGAAGGACCGTAGTCGGGGGGCGACGGAGGTCAAAAAGACATTAGTCAGCAGACGACGGAGGCCAGAAGGACTATGTCAAGTAGAAGTCCAGCAATTGATAGAAATCCACCAACGGATAAATGTTCGGCGAAAAACTAATGACAAACAGAAGTCCGACGTCGGATAGAAATATGGCGACGAGCGGAGGTTCGGCGTCGGGTAGAAATCCGACGTCAGTCGGCGGCCGGGGAGAACTCTGGCGTTAGATGGTATTCGGGAAAAACTCTAGAGTCACTTAGAGATCGGGCGGAATTCTGGCATCAGTTGGAAGTTGGGCGGAATTCCGGCGTCACTTGGAAGTCAGGTGGAATTCTGGCGTCCCATGAAAGTCAGGCAGAATTATGGCGGCGGTGTTCGAGGAGTTTCTTCCCTCATAATCTTCTCTTCTCTTCTTATTTGGGCCCCCTCTCGAGAGAAATGAGGGGTCTATTTATAGATTTTTGAAGTAGCATGGGTTGTAAATAGGTGAGAGATCAAGGGCAAATGTGGAGTGGTTCAGATGGACGGCCAATATTGAATACTTTGATCGTGGATCGTTCATCAGACATTTGAAGGTCTTAATGATGTCGGAATTTGGCGATCTTGAGCTCGTTGGATTTGTCTCGTCGAGCTACTCGATTCGACTATAAGAACTTTATGTTTAGAAACTGTTTGGTAACTCAAATTTTGGTTTGAACTTTCCAACAATGCTTCGGGTCCTTGATTTGGACTCATTTGGACTCGGATTGAGTTGAATTTGGTGTTTTTGGGTTCGTATTTTCAAGACGCTCAGTTTGATTACAAGTTTACTGAAATCGTAGTTCAGGTGATCCCGAATTAAATTTTTTAATTTTTCAGCTTGATTTTACCTCGAGATTCGTTCCTAATCAAGATAATTTTATGATAACATATCAGTTACCCCCTATTTTTTGACATTGAAGCACCAGAAGTCCGAAAATATGTGTGTCAACATTTCACATTAGCCGAATCGTAAAAAATTGCGTTCCAAAAATTGAAATCTTGCTCAAACTTGATCACAGAGGCCCGAAAAATTGCGTTAAGTTCCGGAAGTGTCAAAATTTAGTCCATAACGTCAAAAAATGTTTTCGAGAACCCCAAAAAACCTCAAATTTGGACCGTCCGGTCCGAAAATTGGGCTCGGACTCGTGTAGGAGGCCAAACCAACCGGCTGGCCAGACGGCCGCCGCCAGCACACCTGCAGCGCGCCAACAGGCACGTCCCGCGCGGGTACCGCGCTATTAGGAATGTTAGGTATTTTTTTTTTTAGTGAGGCTCGCGTGACTTTTTTATATTAAAAAAATTTTGAAAAAAATTTAGAAAATTTGAGAAAATTCTTTAAAATTATGGAATATTCTTTTCTTCTCAAAAAAGGTTATAAATACCCCCCTAGAGCTAGAGGGAACTTGCACCTTCTTCTTTTCTCCCTCTGACTTTCTTACAGTTGACGCATTTTGCTATTTTATGTAGGTGACTTTCCCTACTCAATTCAGCGTCCCTCATCTTGTACAAAAGTTGAAATTTTCTCTTCTTTTCTCCAATTTTTCTTCTTGCTCTGGAGGTCTTCCAATGTTTTTCGTAGGTGACTTTCTCTACTTATATTCAATGCTTCTCTTTAGTACAGAAGAAAATTTTTTCTCCTTTAACTATCTTCATCTTTGGCTATTTTCGTACAGTCGGGACATTTCGTTGCTTTTCATAGGTGATTTTTCCTACTTAAATCGGCGTCCCTCTTCTTGTACAGAAGTTAGAAATTTCTTGGCCTTGTTTCTTTTCTTTCTCCTCCCGCGTTCTAACTTTCTTACAGTTGAGGTATTCCCCTATTTTTTGTGTGTGTGACTTTTTCTACGCAAAATTCAAGGCCCCTCTCCTGGTGTAGAAGTTAGAATTTTTGTAACCTTTTCTTTTCTTTTCTTTTCTTTTCTTCTAGTCTTCTTCTTACATTAGAGGCATTCCACTGTCGAAGATAGGTGACATTCCCCTATCAAGCTTCAGTGCCCCTCTACTGTGTAGAAGGAGATTTTTTTGAGGTCTTCCATTGTCGGAGATAGGCGGCATTCCCCTATCAAACTTCAGTGTCCCTTTCTTGTGTAGAAGAAGTCCCGATGAGAGACTATCTTTTAAATAGATAACCCATGACAAAAGGAGATCAATTGCTTCTTCTATGTGAGGATGATTTGAGAAAATCTAACGGTAATAGTGTCCGGGAGGAGAACCAGAAGACTTTCAATGCTATTTGAGAATAAGTTCGTCGGCGATGGACGATTGAGTGGAAGTCAATTGGCAGTCAACAACCGAGTGGAGAGATGAATGAGAGAGTTGGATGGTGTGCTACTATCAGTAGTTTGAGCAAGAAGCTGATGATGGCTGATATGAAGTAAAGGATCGAAGGCAAACATCGGGCAAAGGGTCGATGATGACGGTTGTCTAGTTGCATTCTGCTAAGGCAATATGTATTCATATTGATATGTGCAGACATCATATATTCCTTTCTTTAAAGAAGAAATTGTAGGAGATGCTTGTGTGAAGTAGAGAAGGAGTCTCTTAAATCCACCAAGGATATTTGATTATGGTAAAGTTTCTTGTTGCTTGATGATAGTAGCTTGTACAAATGATGTCACTATTTTTTTTTTATTTCAAATTCTTGCAAAAATAAATTTGATGTACACTTTTTGCAATGTAATTCCAATGATATTGTATATAGAGTTAAGAACTTGTCCTTCGGAGCAAGCTGAATTGTTTATGCATCTTTGAGTCATATTTTTGAAATATTGCACCTCATATTTTTGGAAGCACCGTTAGACTGTTAAGGTCTTTATATGAGTAATAAATTTATCAATCTTACTTTCGTGGAATCTTTATAGAGAGAATTTTATTCACTCAGAGCGTTGCTCGATGATGCTTACCTCTATATAAGAGGTCACGAGAATCCACTAAGGATGTATGACATATTTGAGGTTGTATGTCAGAGCCCTGCTCGATGACGTTAACCTATATGGAAGAGATCAAGAGAATCATGTAAGAATGTGATACCTATTCGACGTTGTATGTCATAGCCTAACTCGATGACATTAACCTATATGGAAGAGGTCGAAAGAATTCAGAAATGATTTGAGACCTATCCAAAGTTGTATGTCAGAGCCTTGCTCGACAACATTTACCTATATGGAAGAGGTCGAGAGAATCCACTAAGGATGTAAGACCTATCCGAGGTTGTATGTCGGAGCCTTTGCTCGATGACATTAACCTGTATGGAAAATGTCAAGAGAATCCACCAAGGATGTAAGACCTATCCAAGGTTGTATGTCAGAGCCTTTGCTCGACGACGTTAACCTATGTGGAAGAGGTCGAGAGAATCCACCAAGGATATAAGACCTATCCGAGGTTATATGTTAGAGTCCTTTCTCGATGACGTTACCTGTGTGGAAGAGGTCGAGAGAATCCACCAAGGATGTAAGACCTATCCGAGGTTGTATGTCAGAACCTTGCTCGATGACGTTAACATGTATGGAAGAGGTCAAATTAAATCCTTGTGGGATCGATTTTGCCTTAATTAGGAGGGGGAGAACGCCATGTGTATCCCAAATCAAAAGTGAAGAATGATCTATCTTTACATCATTACTACATTTTTGAGGTCGAGATTAAGATATTGCCCAAGGAGTAGAAGTCCAGTATGGGACTATATGTGGCTTGAAATTTATCAGAAGCATTCTTGCATTTGCCGGGAGTTTCCTTATATACCGTCTTGGTTTTGAAAATCTTTGAGAGATCTTCTTGACTAAAATTATAGTCAAAGTTGCCCCCAGTCCGGATCTGATTCCCATAAAATTGATGCATCAATAGCAGTTGAATAACATTTTGAGGTTGGAGCCAAAACCTCCCAGCAGGGAACCACGTTCTCACAGACGGCACCAAACTGTTGCGTATTGGAGTATTCATTGCGGTAGAGAAACATAAAATTTAACATCTTAGCATTGTAAGAAAATCCGGCATGCAATCAGATAAGAGAGATGGTCTAACATTCACTAGAGACACCAAGATTTTTACGTGAAAAACCCCTTAAAAGAGGGGAAAACCACGGGATCTAGCCCAGTTTGAATGAATCCATTATTATTTGCAGTCGATTACAAATGAAACCCTTCTTTGGGGGAAGGCCTGAATTTAATGTATATCTTATAGAGTACGTTACATGATCAGAATACAAAGAGTCACTACT